GCTGAGCCCAGAAAGCTTATTTTTCAGTTTTCAAAGGGTTGTTCATATGATTTTCATGATCCATCGTGTGCCAGTGAACAGTTTCCACCCACAGATTGACAGAACAATGTCCCATTAACTTCAGCTGGGCTGTTTTTCACAGCCAAAATAGAGGTTTGGCTATGTTTAATGAGAAGGTATTAAAAGTGTATTTAAAATGCTCTGTACAAGTATTGGATACAGTAAGGATTGCAGAATGCTTTTGCTTTGTTGCAGTTACGGTATCAGAAGTGCTTAGTAGCCAGACCTCCTTCACAGAAAGTTCGACCGCCCCCACCTCCTGCAGACTCGGTGACTAGAAGAGTTACAACTAATGTAAAAAGAGGAGTGTTGTCCCTCATTGACACTTTGAAACAGAAACGCCCGGTCACTGAGATGCCATAGCTGCATAAGAGAGAGGATTCTCCTAACATTTAACTGAAGGTAAAAGTAGCTACGCTACGGAAAGTGAACTGACGATGTCTGGCCTTCCATTTCAAATTGCTGATGCTTTGTCTTCAGAGAATTTACCCCTAACAAACAATGTTAGACAAGCATGTTATCTTGTTCTTGCCACCATCGTGTGATATGAAAAGAAGCATGAATATTTTTTTTTTGCTGTCAGTGAGTTACATCATGAGCAGTGGAAGGTCTGTTTGACTGTAAATATGTGAACATTACCTAAACTCACACACACCCAAAAAAAAAAAAAAAAAAAAAAACAAAAACGGCCACGTCCCTCCCAGTGAACTCCTGCTAAAGTCCTTGGAGTGAATGATGCCCGACTTGATAGTTTCACCGTCTTGCACTGAATTTGTCACAAACCAATCTCAAATCCTACATCACCTTGCTCTGTTTTCAACACTAGAGTATGTACCAAGTATTTATCTACCATTGAATTAAGTTTTATTTTTTTACAGAACTACATCTGTTAGTTTTAAATTGTTTGCCAACATTGGTCTAGCAACCACTTTAACATCTCCCTGACATGCTTTTGAATCATGGTGTCATTGTTTCATCTCCTGGTTATACATTATGGTCTTAGAGAAGAATCCTGTTTAATACCAAACCAATGCTGAAAAATCCAGAAATGTTTTCAGTAATTGGGTTGAAGGGTGATCCCCTGAAGCTTTTCAGCTCTAAGTATACAAATGCACCTGTTGGCTGTTAAATTTATTCTCCTAAATCTGTCATTAATTAATCAAAAATACCATTTGTTTCATACAGGGCCCATAGCAGTCAGGAGTAAGAAAGAACTAGTCAGTAATTTTATTCTGTTAAAACTTACAAAAAGACTAAAATGTTCCATACCTTATTCATACAAGTGTTTGATGAAATATTCAGTTTAGTGTCTGGTTGCACAATTCCCCCCTTCCCCTCAGAGTTTGTTGCTGAATACTTAACATGCCACAAAAAGAACCATCATGTTTCTCGTTATTTACAAAATTCCATGGAATTTCTTTGAATGCTCTTGTGACAAAAGAAGAGTTTTTTTCTAACAGGACAGTGCTTCAAGTGGTACAACTTGATTTCAATGCTTTTGCTCCAAAGGTTTCATCTAATTGCTTTGATCTACACACTACTGCAGACCCTGACAAAGTCAGCCCAGTATTGCCCCTTAAAATTGTACCTCAGGCTAATTTTCAATTGCAGTTATTCATCTTGAGTCTCCTCCTTTGCCGTCTTCTGCCTGGACCTGCAGATTGGTACAAATTTTGGAAATGGAACATTAAAGATTTTTTTAACGAGTGTTAAAAATGTTTTGCCTCCATTTATACATGTGTTCCAAACTGTAACTGTCTCCCAAGTCTGCAAATCTGATCATACTGTAATTTTAAAAGAATAGTGTCATGGTTGTTATCACAAGAACTCTTTTTTTATTTTACTATGCAAGACACTGTTATAAACAAACAGGTTTTTTTAATTTCCTTGTTTAAAGAATTTAACAGCAGCACCTGGGCAAACCAAGTTAGGAACATGGGGGAGAAGAATGATGATTCAAGAAATTTCTGCATTGAAAAATGCAGAAAAATTGTTAAACTAAACTCAGCCTGATGTATGAGCAAGTGTGAGATGAAGGTCAGCTATCCAACTGTTGGAATTAAATTTCGCTCTCTAGAATACCCTCCAAAGAGCCGATCTTCCACTGATCTCAGATCTCTTTATGACCGCGATTCTGCATTGAAGCAATTGTTTCCCTCCCAAGCTTTGTCCTCCTGTTGCCTCCTCTGCACCAGCTCTATTGGTTGTACAGCTAGAGAAGTTGCTTATGCCAAGTAGGTAGGGTGAATGCAGAGCTGGAGGTGAGGGGATGCAAACAAACCCACCCCTTTTAGCAGTGCCAATGCTTTAAACTGACCATGAAGCCAGATCTCAAAGCGTGGAGGTGGCAGCTTGCACATGTCTGTTAAGTTTCTAGCACTGATCCCAGCGATGTCTGCTAGGAGTGGTGTAAAAACTCACTTCTGATCATGACTGCTAGCAAAATGTGATGGCTAACAATGTACTGTTAGGTAAGATCATGAAGTTAAGAGAGAAAAGTTTCCTTATTTGTCACTGTGCTAATGATTCAATCTTTGACTTTATTTTAAATTACAAAAAATACTTTGATAGTGTCCCTTTAAAATTGCAGCTGGAAATGCCATGATTTGGCACTGTTCTACAACAGTGAATTTTAAACAGTATATTTAGATTTTGTAGTTGCATCTGCACAGTGCTGATTTCTCCCCAAGAGAGATCCAGACTCTCTTTAAACTGAACCAACACTTGGCAAACAGCAATGTAAACGTTCTCCTACATGAGTGTTGTCAAGGCTATGAACATCCAGTTAGGTTTCACTAGCAAAGCGTGCAATTGCAGGAGGGGCTGAGGAGAAGACAGAAGGGTATTTAAAAAGCCGTAGGTCACTTGCCAATATATGTTTTAAGAGTTTCGTGTCTGTTAACAAAATGTTGTTGATTTTGCAGATATTTAAGTAGTTTGCTTAATGGTCTGACTGTATGTGGCCTTTTTGCTTCAGTAGAGCCCCTTATTCTCCAGAAGATCAAATACACATCCAGGTGTTTGCAGAATCAGAGCCAAATATTGCAAAGCCAGTTATCTTTTGTTAATATAGTAAGACACTCTTTTTACCATGGCCAAAAAAGTATGTATGGAGTACGTGTGTTTGAGCAGCTGCCACTATTTCAGTTGATGGTATAGCAACCCTTCAGTTATCTATGCATTTTTTTATAATACCTAGTGATACTGTAGGCAGGTAGCCGTGTTCACTATGCCTTGTATGTCTGATGCCATATTTTAAATTAACCTGTTAAATACAGCTTAAAATATTTTTATTTTATTTATTCTAATTCTATTTTTACTGAAATATTCTGCATTATTATGTTGATGTATTGTCTTCACTGGGCGTGCTCTTGTAACAGTCTCCACTCTGTATACTATAGGCTGCCTAAAAGGAGGCAGGCTTTGTAATTATTTGTAGTCACATTTTTATTGAAGTCTGTAGAAAAATCATGTAAAGCAAAGCTAACTTCTTCATTTTTTTCAATGCAAGTAGTAAGTTAGAGGTAAGTATCACCTGTCAGTCATGTCATTAATATGCTCCCTTGCAGCAGCAAGGAGATTTATATTCACAGTCAGCAACTAGCCTTTCTTTTGAAATCTGCAGTGCTGGCTGTAGGTTTTATTTAAGCAATTTACTATTTCATTGGCAGGGGAGTGAGGGGGTGTGGGAGATGTAAGGGTACAGGGGCCACCTACAGGGTGGTTAAACAGGAATAAGAAAAATTGCACGGAAGGCCATAGAATCCATTCACAGTAAAATTAGGTTTTAATGATATACTTCATGTGCAGAGTCACCTGTACCTATAGAAATAATATGCCCTTTTGTGACAGAGGAACAAAAACTATGGAGTATCCAATAGCTTATGCTAGTTCTGTGTCACCAAGGCTTCTATATCCCTTTTTTTTAATTTTATCAAGCATTTCATAGATCATTTATCTAGGGATCTAAAATTGTTAGTAGATCACCCCTGGAAAAGATAAATTTCTTATTTCAGCAGCTAATATGGGCTCAGCCTTTCAGCATTACCAGGAACCCCATTATTCCTTTCTTGGGCAGGTTAATTAATACATTGCTAAAACTTGCGCTGTACAGTCAGCAAAAGCAGGTTTGATTCATTTTAACAGCAGTAAGAAAGAAGGACACGCACCCGCTGTGTATTAGCAGAGTTCAGTCTTCTGTAAAGCACCTGATTGACACTGAAAAGGACAATTTTCCCTGCTGTTGACCACTTCTCCACATTTAAATGTAATCTGTTCTGAGAATAAATTTATCTGCATAAAATTATTGTCTCAACTGTTACTGGTCCACAAAACTGGGAAATTATTTATTTTGTTCCAAATTGTGGTTGAGGGGAGGGAAAAACATGTTCGTGGTTTAGAGGTAATAGCAGTACAATGGACACTTTTGTATCTGGAAAACTGAATCGAGTTTCTAGTTGAAAACTACAAATACATAACTGGATTACAGACCATTTGTTACATCAGATACAGCATTACTGTAAAAAAGTCATCGAGTGCTTAACCGAGTGTACAGCCTTCTACCTACAAGCCATCTGAAATCAGCCCCAGATGTTGCCCCCATGAGATGTTCAGTGCTTACAAAGTAAGCTGGTGACTTGCAGAATCAAAATCTTCACTACCAGTTCTTCAATATTGGTAAGACATCAAGATTCTAACTGGTTTAGCCTCCATAACATTTCAAAGACAGAAACTCCTGAAAGCAAGATGAGGCCGATTGTGGGACATCGTGACACATATTACGTAAGTACCCCAAAAATTCTGTCATCAGACACATGTATGTTCTTTTACAAGTAATTTTAATTATATTTAATAATGAATTATACAGATTTTGATTTTAACAAAATAAAGTTTTGTTCTCTAACTGCAGAATCCCTAAGTTTATTTTAAGCATTTAACAACCATATTGAAAAAAACCCTGATATCTCCTTATTGTCCATCCCTTTTATCTAAGATGTAGAACCTCTCCTCCTCCAAGATGGTTTTGAAATAAAATTGGTATTTTTAAAATTTTTTCAGTTCTATACATTACGTGTGCACAGGTCTAGATCTATCCTTCCAAGTTTGTTCAGAAGCAAGAGCAGAGATCATCCTTTTATTGGAACAGGTAAGGAGCACAGGTTACTCACAGGAATATGCAGCGAGTGATGCCTCTGAATAGGACAGCTGGCTCAGATTAAAATGCTAAAAGAAATTTCCACTGATTTCGATGAAGCAACAGTGTTTATCCGATGAACAAGAGCCAGCTGTCTATGCTGCTGGTGTAATATCATTCGCATCTGTTCTTCTACAGGTAGTGCTGATCCAGCTACCTCGACTGGTATGGGTGAGAAAAAAAAATGTTAAACAGTTTCTCTGGATGTGTCTAAATCCAGACTCACATCAAACAGGTTACAACTCCATACCATATTGTCGACACTGCTGGCAACACTCTTACCAAGTATCTTAAATGATAGCCTAGAGGAAAATTTCTCTTCTGGGACGCAGCTACCTTTGCTTTTCTATATTGCGATGCTGTCTTTGTTTCATTTCTATAACATGCCCAATCTAAATACAATTCTTGAGGTTCCTCTTACTGTCATTCTGTCATTGTTTGCCATTTTCCTTCTTTATAATGTCTGTATTTAATACTAAATCAGATTCTTGTTGAAAGTATCTCTGTGTCCCCCTTTTATCCTCTGCTCAGATTATAAGACAATTGGAGATATTTTGCACTTATTTTATATTTGCTAGCAAGAGGGAGCAGGTTAGAGGCCCACAGCTGTTGCCAAAGACAGAGAAACTACTCTGTGGTCAGTCATTCAGCTGACTGGCAGTAACATTTATAAAAATAAAGTTACTTTGACAGTAGCAGCTCTTTTCGACTAAGAACTGCTTGTGTTAAGAAAGTTGGTAAAAGGCAGTTATGAGCCATGACATAGTCTGACATGACATACGATGACAATTCAGTGTTTTTAGCATGAGAATATTTATCTAGTTTTCATTGTTAAGATTTTGAAGCACACCTGAGTAGAAACCAAGGGACTAAGTACTAGAAAGCCTGTGCATGGGCTTTAGTGTACTTGGCCTGTTGCCTGGTACAAAAGTTCACATCTAGTTTTAGAAATAAAGGTGAGCTAACTGGCTTACTGTGCAAGGCTTAGTTTCTATGTGTCAGAGTCTACATGGTAACCCACAAAAATGGTATCTAGCACTTGTAAAGAGAAATATCCACTTTAAAAATGCAGTCTCACTTTAAAAAAATCAATGTGAAATTGAATATTCCTACAGATGTAGGCAGGTCATGGGGGGAAGGGAGGAATGTATGCTTTAGCTTATCACTTAAAAGTGTATAGCAAGAAGCTATAGTTTTTTGACCTCACTCCCCCCCACCCCGGTCTATCAGGCAGAGCAGCTGAGCTCCATTCACTTTAAAGTGTGATTACTGGTTTAAAAATTATCTAACATCGATTATTTCTATGCAAATATTCCACAATATATCTGTTTCCCACAGCAAGATTATCCTGCATAAAGGTATACGGTAATCTAAGTGTATTGATTAATATATACAGGCATCTTTACCTTCTGTATAAAGGTAGGGCAATGTTTGAAGATTCTTATAGTCATGGCCGAGGATTGCTACGCACAGTTGGCCTGACCACTTCAGGCAGAGGTGGGGGAAGTACCCTACCACTGAAACCCTTCGCTCCAGTGCAGCCATGAAAGCAATGATGAGTTGATGTCCTGAGTTTGTTTCCTTGCGAACTTACATATGGTGTTATCACTGGAGGGAAAACAATTTCCACAGGCTTCAACACAACCCTCTTACGTTCTGCGCATGCCTTTCTAGGAAGTGTCTGTCTGTCAGACACCTTGCCCATAGATGACAAATGAGAGATGCCCTTCAGCACTTTAGGCAGACCTGAAGCAGGGTCTGAAACAGGTTTGATAGATTTCTTCAGCTGAACATTGATGTTTGTCACTTTATTTTGTTGTATGTTACTGACTGCTTTAGATATGGAAACTTCAGCCTTAATATTAGATACAGTTTGATGGCGAAGGAACTGTGCAGTCTTTGGCTCTGTACCAGTACCAGGAATATTACTTCTACGCTTTGTTACTTTCTGCTTTTTCTCCTCTTCCTTTGATTTTTCCGGACTGCTGTCTAGTAATCCTTTTGCTGCAGCACGAGCCAAAATGTCTTTAACAGACACATTTTCAGAAGAATCTTTCTGAAAATTTCAAAGAAAACAATGAATCTAAGGCACAAGACAGAGCTGCAAACTCAATACTTTAATCCCAGATTCCTCAGAACTTAACTCCATGAGAAAACTACTGCAGAATCTAACAGCAAGCTTAAGTCAGGTGTGACAAATGCTAACTGAACTATTTATTCAAGAAATTAAGAACATGACTGTTGCGTAAAGAGGTATTTGAGCATTTGCTCTTCAGAGACTTTGCTCTCTACAGGCCTGAAGAGTGGAAACTGAATAATGGACTTTTACTACGTCTCCCGCACTAAATTCCTCTGTAACATTTCTGTAATAACTTTTTTGTATATATATAATTAAAAAGTGTGTGTGTATCAGAAATAGCTACTAAAATACAGAAGAATTATCAATAACATTAACATGAATAATTTTCATTATAATGAAAATCCTTGCTCATAATACATAAGCAAGGAACTCTCAAACTAGATTAAGTAGGAATCAGGTCAACATCCAAGTATGTAAAGAGAAGCAATGGGCAAGAAAGTATTTACAGCTAGCCAAGAAGAGAGTTTCTATAAACCAGAAATTGCAGTTTAAATTATAAGTACACGTTTTCTGCCTTGTAGAAGATGTTAATTTCCAGAATCACTTAAAAATTTGCCATAGAAGGGGTTGCTTCTGTGCATTAGCATTTGACTAAAAAATTATCCAAATTAACTACCTGAAACAAAAGTGTTTCTTTCTCTAGAGGGAGACAATATGGTAGACAGCTGTACATAGCATGATTAACTAAAACTTATTAGCTCAGGGAGCCAGGTTAAAAAATACTTTATATTGAAAAGAAAGAGGTCAATAATAGATAACTTGAAAGGCTTTTCATGTGTGATTCTCTTACTCTTAATAAAATCTTCTCTTCTAATTTCCCCCAGGACGCAAGCTTCTTTCAAGCACTGTAATTGCAGTATAACAGAAAGTGGTACAAATAACCAAATAAGATCTCGCATCTTTAATTTTCACTGAAATTCTAATTAGTTCCCCCCCTTCCTCTTTTGGTGAAAAAAGTCCTACTTTTCTCAGACATGAGAGGAAAATGTTGATGCTCAGAAGTGAAAACAAGCCCTTTAAGGCCTTTCCTCAGGAAATCATGCCAAGACTTTTCTGTTTACTCAGCAAAAGTCCCCTGCCTTTCAAGCCAGATTTGCATATGCCTTAGTTTTGGAAGGAAACATATTCATACCTATTTTATTCAAATTATAATGAAGTATTAATTCCTACGGGTGACACAGGCTACTTGGATACTGGCAAATCTTGGTGACACATACAGACATAACAAATAACTTTACTAGACCCCAATTATGGTGAGTCTAATCAAGCTGTGTATTTCATTCCAAGGTGTGACAGCAACAATATGTTTCCTCTAGATGTTCCTAGCACTGACTTATATCAAGAGACTGCTCTGATCACAAACAGCTCCAGAAGAAAAGGCACCTGTTGGAAAGCTGCACTCAGCATAAAACTCTAGAAGTGGCACATTTCAACTGCTCACTGATTCTTTGTTCCTAAGACAACAAAAGAACAGCCAGGATTTTTTTTTTTAAATGTTCAGTTTCATATAGTCTTTTGTGGAAAATGGCAATGTTCTTTTTCTGTGAAGTGTTTTTAAAGTGTAGTTTTCTTAGCTTACCTCTCTTGCTAGAACAGCTAGAAAACAGCCACTGGAAATTTCTGATGGCTCCATTTTGAAAAAAATTCCAGTGGAAGTGTTTGAATTGGAGCAAGTAGAAAAAACGGGAGGTGTAAGCCTGTAAAAAATAAACAAATGACCAGAAAATAATAATTAAGGATATAAAAGGAAATAAACAAGGATATGTAAAATTAAGTAGATTTGTGATGATCACACAGTTTGTTTTATTAGTATTACTTGCCTCTCACAAGACACTACCATGAACACAGGCTCATAATTCTGCAACAGTTTTTCATACCGTCCTGCATTCTTTTAGTCAAGTAAGTTACCTACTGAATTCTAAGGAAAGTACAAGGAACTGTCATTAAGTAGTACATGCATCTTAAATGTCTTGAGCTTTCATCTTAAGACAAGCATAATCACACTATGTATTTTATTTACGGTGTTCTATTACTGCTCTGTTTATGCTGGTTACCAGCAACTTTATTGTAGCTAGAACTAGGCATTAAAACATCCAAGATATGTGCATGACAGTGAAGGAGGAACTGATTGTGGAACAGTCATTTATGAAGTTTGATCAGTTTTTAGTTAGAAATTTGCTCAGGTCTGCAAAAATCCTAATGTAATTCTATTCTCCCTTTCCTACCATCTGAGATTGCCTTTTGTTGGAAAGAAAAAGTATAATTTGGTGGCATGACAAGTTTCATGATGTTTCTGCAAAATACTGAAGAGATTTTGGTTTGGCTTTGGGGGAAAGGGGATTGTTTTAGACAAGGGGGATTTTCTTCTGAAAAAAAATAAAGCTCTGGAAGAAAATCTCGGGGTTTTTTTGAAATATAAATTCTGTTATATATATATATCATTAATTTACGTGTTATTTGTGTTGAGATAATTCAGAGACCATTATGTTCCAAGGTCCTCCTAGTTCTCCCCACAGAATGATAGCTGCATAGAGGTCAAGACATGACAGACATCACAAAATTTCAAATTCTAAAGGCAGACAGTTTACAGCAAGAGTCCATAAATGCTTTTGGACTAGCATAGCATCATTGGCAAGACATACCCTGATTTCATCCCATTTAGTGTAAAATTTCAAGCAGGCTGCTGTTTTCTATTGGTGATTTGCAAGAAAGATGCATTTTGTTGTACCGTATCTTAACATTATGCAAAACACACCTATTTTTAAAATGCTTTGGACTGACTACAGTTAACATTTACCATTTTAATAATGCAAAATTTAAATACACTGAATGACATCTTGAACCACAGTACCTTTCCCCATGATGGCAAAGTCATTAACATCATCTAAGATAATACCAATTCTAAAAAAACAGTATTACTCTCCTGTGCTTTCGGCAACATAAACTCTTTTAACCTGTATCCTGTAATCAACTATTATATCCACGTGCAAGCAAGCGCCAACTGTTTGCATTTGTCTACTGTGACTGAAAGGAAAATACAGAAAGTACCCATCAGTCTTTTAACAATTGCTCCAGCTGACAGCAGTGGCAGCGGACAGGTTTTAACTACATAAAAAGTATACAACTACACATCTTTTCACATGGATTTATATTTGTTATGATTGCACAGGATGTTCTCTTAGCGTAACCTGTCACCCCAGAAGTCATTCATCTGCGTACAGGAACAAGGAATCCTATAGCAGAGGTTCTTATTCCTCTATATTATTCTCACATTTTAAGACTTTGTTTCTTTTTCCTTTGAAACTGTTCATTCTAAGTGAGAAGCTGAGAGTGTGCTAGCAAGCTCCCTGACTTCTAGTCTCCATTTAAACTACCTTCGTTCTCTGAATACTGATAGGATGAAAGCAATAGCTCTATCAGAAGCTCACCACAATGTTATTTCCAAACAGTGATGCTTTCCTCCCATCTCGATTTCAGATGGGAACAAAGATAGTAGATGAAAAAGTCAAGAGGATGCTACTTAGTACTCTTGTAACATCAAAAGGAATGGAATGAGAGGTGGCAAAAAATATTCTAAATGTTAATCTAAGGCAAGACAGATCTGTCTAGGATAAGAATTATGCTACAATTTAAAGTTATACTTAATTTTTCCATAGAAAAAACTACTCATTCCATACCTGTATGGTTGTACTTTTTTTCCTCCCACTCCAGATTCCAGTGCTTTTTTCACTGCTAGTTCATTTTCTTCTGGGTAAACTGAACAAGTGCAGTAAACAATAGCTTGTACTTTGTTAACTACAAAACAAACAAATTTTTTCTACTGTTCAAATTCTTCATATGCACAGTGGTTTAGTAAGGTCTGAAACCAGCATAAAAATTATGCTTGGCTGCCATTTTTACCAATCAAATATACCCTCCTGCACACATTAGTATTCAATCTCTAGTGTTTTTTAGTAACTAAAATATTTTCAAATATTTCCAGATTTCATCAGACATTCAGGGCTGCATCCAGTCTTTTCACACAGCTACCAAAGGAAGGGGAAAGAAAGCAGCAGCATGAAGATGGAGTCAGACTACATTTAGAACTTTTCCAAAGTAGAGTATGACTAAGCCAGTAAGCCGGTTCTCTATATAATGCTGAAGATTATTGCATTAAAGGCTGGTGAATACTAGGACACAGATACACCTTTAAACTTGAGGAGATCATTCTTAAGGGGGTTTGGTTACACACTGTTAACAAATAGAGCAATCAGCATATTTTCAACGATATAAAAACTGGTGGCAGTACAATGAAATTGATAGCACAAGGTGTTCCCGGATATTCAAGCGCAAGCACACTTACATTTCATTGCATGTGTCAACTCATTAAGCTGCCTCTCAGCAAGAGTACTGAGTTTATGCTCAGATACAGATCCTTGGAAAAGGTCTCTCAGCAATCCTGCATCTAAATGCAAAGAGTTGTAAATTTATTAATGTAACTTGTATTAGTGTCTTAAAATTTGGTTGTATGCAGAAAAGGCTTTGGTAACGGACCGCATTATTACTAGTGCAGTAGGAAGGTAGGTTTTATGAATTACAATACCAGGGAATGCTTAAATGAGTCGTCTTTCCCTCTTTACCTGTAATTAGTACTGCCTCTTATTTGATTCTGTTTAATGAAAATTGTACAGTGAATAGACTTATACAATCAATAAAAAAATATCATCAAGGGAAACTGATATGCACTCATTGGTATCTTGAAATAAATTTTCTACCTACTGTCTTTTTATTTTAAAAGAAAGGCTGTATACACTCTCCTCCCAGAATAACGCTCAAACATCATACTACTGACTTGAAATTGCCTTTACAAAACACCCTTAATCCTTCAGTGCTACCCAGAAAGATTTTGTTTTCTTGGTGAGAATCCTAAACTGGGCTAAATACATTCTTGCTCACTTTGGGTGGAAAAATCATCTGCGCAATTTATTTATTCTCTTTTATATTTCCATAGTAGCCCACATGTACATTACACATACAGAATTATACAAGTTATTTAATATGTATGTGTTATATGTATGTAGTTAAAATAAAAATCTAAAAGGAAGGGTATTTTACAAAATGATACAAGTTACTGAAGCAACTACAATGTCCAGACCACAATACTTGCGTACTGTTTCTACCAGAAAGCATGAGCTATCTGTTGTGTCAAAAGTTACCTCTGTGTTCATTTAAAATAAAGTCTATTGGATTGCCAACACCTAGCCCAGAGCATTGTGGTAGCAGCAAAATAACTTTTGCCTTTTGAAGTCTTGGGTCTGTTGGTCCAATCTCAGTGAAGTCTTCATCTAACAACTGAATATCTGAAAAAAAGGGAAAAACTGAACAGTTCTACATGCAAGCAGGCCTGCCTAATTTAAATGCCATAAAGGGGAAGAGACTGGTGTTACACAGATTTCCACAAAGCTAGAGCCTGCTAGACCCAGATCCTCCAAAGTATGTCCCACTGATTTCAAACTGATTGAAGGACTAGACCTTAGCATCTTCCACTGAGAAGTCTGCTAATGGGGCTCCAGAGTCCTGTTGTATTCTTTTCTGATTATGTCCTGTGGGTAAACCAGACAAATGCATGTATTTCCATGTGCATGTGATTAACACTCTCAGAAACAGGTGAAATCAGACTGAAAGCAACAGCCAAGACACCAAATAAGTAGACACAAAAGTTCCCAGCTACCAACTACACCAACCACTATACAGTAACTACTTATATGGAAAACGTCCCCCTGACATTTCAGGGGCCTGCATCTATGACTGTTAATTTGCAACCTTTGATTAACTTGATTATAGCTGAAGAGTTGTCCGTTCATTTTGTGGCAAAAAAATAAGTTAATGCCCTCCTCAGATCCTCAGACGAGATGTCTGAATCCTGACAGAAGTATGTCATATTTATGTAAATCACAAAGATCTACATTACAATATTTTATGCATACCAATTGTTATAACACCTACTTGTACATCGCATGTCACTGAATAAGTTCCTCAGTTCAGCTGCTTTTGCTGCAGATTTTACACCACAAACAAAAATTGTGGACATGCTGTGAACTGTCAGCGTAGACATATGGGCAATGGTCAGATGGGAACCTCCATGAGCCACTATAATGTCATCATCTGTATTCAACAGTGCCTGTGCAGCATGTACAGCAAGGCTGCGAGACTTATCCTAGAAAATAATTACACAAAATTAAATATGACCAACTTATTTGGTTTCTGAGTGCCAACCTTCCTTTCCAAACTGGGAAAGTATTTAATTGTTTTCATGACAAACTGAAAGAGTGGAGAAGAAAAACTAATCATGGATAGCAGCTAATAGAGAATTAAAGAAGCATCTTACTAAATTAAACAACATTTAAATAATTGAATTCTAAAGCATAAGAAAGCATATCTATAAGTGAAAAGAAAGGTTAAGTGCATATCACCCCCATAAGGAAGAACTCTCAGTGACAGCCAGTTCCAGAAAAGACAAACATACGCCACAATATGCAAAATTCATCTCCAGAGGCAGCTTAACAGAGAAATGCAGAACTATTCACACAGCTCTTGAAGACAATTATAGAAGAAATGAAGCCCTTATGGATCAAAACCTAATATTTTGCTGAAATTTTATCACCGAAGCAGATTTGAATGCAGAAAGCACGTTTACGAGAGCAAGTTATACTACAGATGCTGAAGAGAGATGATACATATCAAACATTATCTCCATCGAATTACTTAAAAAGGCAAAGAGTGAAGACACGGACCACCAGTACCAAGTTTTGCACCAAATCGGGCAAACGTTGGTTTTAAGGGGAAAAAAAAACTAAACCTTTAAGTTCACATTAAGGTTTACATACCTACTTATACCATTCAAGTACCACCCTACCCCACCACACAAAGATGGAGTTTCTGAGGGTTCTGTTTCATAACTTTTAATATTCTTAAGCAGTAATATTTAGAATTCATTCTGGTGACCTATGGGGCTGTCATGTATAGTTCTTTTTTGTAAGTCTCTATTCAAAATATACACATTGAAAGGAGATATTCAGAGTTATTTTGTAAGTTGGGTAATAAATTTTCAGGGTAAAATTTCCAGAAAATGCTAAGCATCAAGTGAAAATGCCCTTTGAAATGTTTCTGCTAAGCACTCAAGAATCATCAGATACTTTAGATAATTTGTGGTTATGTGTTGTTGCAGGGTTACTCCAAACCACCGCTCTACAACAGGAACCTCTGACCAATCTTGCCTGGACAGACTAATGATTACAAGTTAGGAAAAAGACCAGTGGGGTTTCTGGAGATTTAGGAACCACACTGCACAAAATACAAAGCAGCATCATTGATCCATTTCAAATATGCAGTCAAGGAGGAAGAGATGTTATAATATTAGCATACAATTATCTACTAACTGGGGGTAATGCATGTAGAGTAACATAGAAACTTTCCTCACATTTTCAGAAGTGAGACTGCCTCTTTGACCACTTTTGATGTTTATTTCAACAATTTTAAGATTAGAACATTTTACTAATTTTATTGCAGCTATCAACTGTAAGCATTAACATTTGCATGCTAAATTTATTAAGTGAATCTAACCTTCTGATTATTAAAATAATCCCAAGCCTTTTGTCAGTATGTTGCTGTCTGACTGATTTAATAGGACAGTCACGCAATAGATGACCTCATACTAATGCAAAGCATTATTTGAGTTTGCAGATCATTTTATTCAAGGATGACATCAACTCACCTGCAGTATGAGTTTGTAATCTGCAAAAAGATCTAAATTAAGCAGTTCTTCTTTCAGAGAGGAAGGAAAAAGCAATACATCATGGCAATGTTGGTCCATACAGTACGTATAACGGTCAAAGTCTGACACAGATTCGACTCTTGTGAATCCCTTCTTCTCCAAATCGCTGAAAACATCTTGAAGGCTGTTAACATACAACTCTGACCGTTACATATACAAGTTACTTAAGCAATATAGTTTGCATTGATTATAAGGATTTTTGCCTTTTATTTTTTTAGTGTGCATGCGTATATACATATATATATATAGAATTCAATACTGCCTAATGCAGGAGAGGAATTCACTCTATTTTAGGCATCTAAGTTCTGATTTGAAACAATTAAGTTAGTAAGTCTGATAAAGTAAATTAAGCAAGAGGTATGCATCTCAGAGGACGATTCAAAGCATCAAAACATAAATGTCCATGTGCTCAGGAGACAGTGTAGCAAATCTATTGCTGGAATAGTTTAGTTCTTTCAATTGCTTTCAATTTAACCCAGCTTGCCAATTAATTTAATGGGTGGCAACTGAAATAATCCTTGTGTAAATGAAATGAAGGCATAAATGCTGAGGTTTGCAATTCCAATATCATAAAGATTTAAAGGTACACCAAGACTTGTGTATTGAAATGCAGTTTCAGACAGTGCCATAAGCTTATATGGTACATTAAGCGTAGGGTGAATGCAGCAGCTTTTAGTTCAGTCTTATTTAAGGGTTGCAACATCACAACCAGAGTAAGACACCTTCTCTCTTGAAGAGCCTATAACCTAAGCACAGAACACTGTTCCACACAAGAGTATGAAAACAAAATTCTTGAAGACATAATAAAATGTATTACCTGTCTAACAAAACAGATGACAGGATAACCAGGTATGGTTCATGTATCAGTTAGTGTCAAACTGGAAACACCAGCGTTACATATATAGTAGCCCACTGAATGTAAGGATTTCAAAGAGTTTATTTCAAGTTTACACTATCCTTACAGAATAAACACCAACATTATATTTTATATCTGTCTTAACACCCTTTGCCAATGTTATGGCATACAGTAATACACCCACTTTTAAAGAAGTTTTCTCCTTCTCTATTTTTCATCACAGAGTTTATGCACACATATAGTTTTTTCTAACTTTGTTTCCTCATTTATTTGGTGAAAGACCCACACAAGCAAGAGAATAGTAAGAAAAACTGTTTCACAACTTTGTTACAGCTTATGAATACTATTACCGCAATATATAAAAACTACAAACAAACATAACATCACTGGACTAAGCAGAATTTACTATAAGAAAATTAAATTACTGGTAATAATATAACCTGGAAATTCTAAAACAAGCATGGAGTAAACTACATAACTTCATATGTAAAAATGCCAACATTAGATTACACTTTAAAGACCTCACCTGATTTTAAATATGTTTATCCAAAAACATAAAGGTAAAGCAGAAGCCCTTTGTTCCTGCTTCCGTATAGTTTCTGGTAGAATGCATTCAATTGAAAGAGCATCATGTTTGATGCGACATCTTGCCAGTGCAGCTGCCAATTTGGTCCTAAAACTACAAACGCAGAGTCACAAGTTTAATAAGTTTTTTAAATGTTTACATCAGCTATTAACATGCAATATTTCTATTACAATACTGTCTTGCTCAGAAACTAAAACCAAACATGAGGCCTCCCTTCACATGTTGTTACAGAAAATACACAAGTTGTAGGACATTTTCTACCCCAACCAATGATAGATGCAAGGAAGTAGGTACATAGCTGAGACTTCTCATGTTTCTTAAATGCACAAGGGACTGGAATTTTGACAGGTGACTCCCAAAAAAAGCCAAAGCAACAGCCAAAAAAAAAAAAGCAAATGTTTTTGGAACTGCAAAACTGCAATCTGTAGAATACAATCATCAGGTTTTTCATATGTTTGAAGATATAAATACATATATGTGCAGAATGAGCACTTGATGGAAGCTGACCTCTAAATGTGTACAGAAACAACACAAATATGATGGCAACTAGATGTCAGTTTTATTGTTGTTACCTGAAAATATCAGAGGAAATATTCCCAGTCTTTTCCTACCACAAGCTTTATGCATAATCTTGATGTGTGATACTTCAAAGCAAATAAAAAGTGGGGGTGAGCTACTTCAGATGTCAAGGTATATTACTGCCTCCAGGAATACCTTGTACTTATGATATCCATGATCTTTTTGGGCTATTCTAAATCCTGCAGCAACATAATTTTATCCAATAAATGCCTGTTGAGTTCATCAACAGACTGACAAAAGAAATAACTTGTACACTATTTAAAATGTTTCTTTTACATAACCTTTTTTGTTCTAATTAAAATAATAAATATTTAACAAAGTTCCATAATAGAAGTATTGCTAAATAAATGGATGTTATTCCATTCCATCACTTCTTGACTCTATTACACTTATATTTATGAATGCTTACTATTTTATTTCTTTTCTAAAATTGTATGAAAAAAGTTTCAACAACTGCAAAATAAGATAACCTTTTCTAGCTAAATAATCCACAATATAAAGATGGTTTGTTAGCTGTATTTTTCTTAACTATAGGAATGTGAAAGTCTCTCTTCAAACTAGGTTCTCATTAAAAATAAAAACAAAGCCCACAAAATTTGAAGTTGAAAGAAAGGCACTCGTTATACAAATTTTTATTTCTGCTAATATATATCAACACTCATCTACAAAAAGGCCTGGAAGGAGGATCCCAGGAACTACAGGCCTGTCAGTCTGACC